AAATTATACATTAATTTTGAAAGTTTAAGCTTTGGTTTGGTTCAGAGCTACCTAAAGACCATTATTTATTTATATTTAATATAATTACTGATAGCAGATGCACAAATATTCCTGAGTATTAAAATGTATATAATTATGGCAGTTTTATACTTGCATCATTACAGTAAGTAGGTACCCTAAAATGCATTAAAAAAAATAATCGATTTTCTTGAGGCATGAGATATTTGAAAATTGAAAGAAGACTATTAAATAACTGAAAATTAAAAATAATGAAAATGAGACACTGTTTAAAACTCTGGGAAACGGATCATTATCGAATGGCCTAGAAACGAAGCACGAACAGGCGGATAGCCCACAGGAATATGGCCAGCTATAATTGTTGATAATATCATGGATTTTTTGGGCTTTATTTTTAAGTTAATTATGAGCATTTTTAAATATTAATATTTACATACTCATGATGCGCTTAAAAATAAAAATAAATCGTAAAGATAACCAAGAAGAGAACACAGATAATGTTCTTACATTTGTGTGTGATACCTAATAGGTCAATTCACTCTCGTCAAGTTCATATACCAATAGAATAAATCATAATGGATATATGTAGATAGCATACAATACTTCGATATCTACATACTTGTATCGTGATTATTATTCTTAATATTGTATATCCTAAGACATAGATTTTCTAATACTCGTTTTCTAACACATGACTTTCTAAAACTTGCCTCAGTATCGTGCAGGGGCGTATACGAGTAGATACGAGTGTATATTATGGCGTTATGTACTCATCACATTTATAAAGAAACGAGTTAACACGATTAAAAAATATTTAAAAAATGACTTTTATAATTATGAGTAATAAGTTATTACTAATGAGTAATGACTAATAAGTATACTATACAGTGCGTATACTGAATATAGTAGGTATAGTGAATTGTGGGCTATGCTAGCATGATATTTTATAATTTGTTTTTTGTTTTAAATTCAGATATTATCCTTGATCTGACGCACCACCATCGAGAACAATACAAAGTAATCATAAATATGACTGGTGTTTAAATTGGTCACCTGCTGAAAATATTTAAATAGGATAATATTAGATGTAGATCATATTATTATATAATGGATGATATTATTTTGTATATTGTTTTTGTTGTTTTTTTTTAATTACTCATTATTTGATCACAAAGGGCTAACGAGTACCTGGGTAAGCAACAAAGGTATGTTTTTGAATGAGTGCAGTAAAAACATTTTGGAATAAAATATTATGGCGTATATTCAAAACATTATTTATGAGTATGTGAATTTTTTGATTAGGTTAGCCATTCTAGATAAGTAGAAATATATGTACAGGAACTTACGAAATGTCAAATGATCGTCATGCCTAGTGAATACCGCCGTCGCCACAGACTGGCGCCCGTGGTCGACGAGAAAAACGATGAACGTACAGCGACTAATTGTTGTAACCCTGGTACAAGTATTCAACTTTCGGTGCCAAACACTACATCGACGTCGTGCTAATCAGTAGTTCGGAACAGATTTCAGAACTATCCAAAAATCATTCCTAACGAGTAATGAGCCACGTATTAAGAATATGCGGGTCACGGGTGTATAATATTTGCTCGCGCATTAATTGTACTTTATATATAGTATACTGTATACACATTATTTAGAATATTCCATGTTTATTTTATCAGAATCAGAATTTATTATTATTACAATTATTGACGTTACCAATCGTCGTTAAATGTTATATCTGAAATAATTTCGGGTCTACGATTAATACAGAGGAATCTGTAGAGTTTAAACATTGCGTAGTGCAGAGATGGTGAACCTATGACAAGCGTGTCACAGAGTGACACACGCACACTATTTTAGTGACACACACAAATGTGTAAAAGTTTGATAATTTTAAAGTTTTTGAAAAAAAAAATGGAAGGGTTATCGAACTAGTTGACACGCAAGGAAAACAAAATCTAACCAACATTTTTATTTGACACACTGGTACAAAATGGTTCGCCATCCCTGCCATAGAGTGTAAAGGTGTTCTATTTCATATAAAATGTATGTGCAGCGTTCTTTCACAGTTGTAGGTACGAACACCAACTGCCAAGCGCGGATATTGTTTGTATAATATTATTGAAATACTCATCTGAACATGCATATCTTACTTGAGATGCTAAATACTAAAAAAAAAATCGTGGGGGGAGATCTATTCCCCATATCCACCCCTTAAATGCTTCACTGTTTGGGGGTTTTGTTTCAACAGGAAAAGTGGCTATAAATGTAAATGTGCAGCCACAAAAAAATGTGCAACTAACACCATCCCAATGTACCGGGAGCGCGCATCCTGTTCATGAATTCCTGGTATTCATGAACACTATATTTGAACCTCCTACGTTGATGGTCATTTATTTGGTCACCAGGCCGAACAATAAATTATTATTTAGATTAAAATTAATCCGATTACTGCAGCGCCATCTACTGCCGACAAATCATTTTCTGATGCGTGCATGAAGAACCAGCTCTAAGTCTGTGAGGGGCTACTCATTTTCTTAGCTAGATAGCGCTGCCATATATACGATTTTTATTCGCACTGTATTGATATCTTCCTAACCGAAGTCGATAAAAAATTTTTCGCTTTGTCACAAAACTTGAAAATGTAATACAAGGTTCCTTGTAATCTGTTGTCGATGGAAATTAAAAAAAAAAGTCGAGCGTAAATCCAGAATAATTTTTTACGAGCGTTGAAACTTAGAATTTTGATAAAATTCGTAAAAATCACGAAATTTAGCAAATTATTTTGAGCTAGAGATTCATACAAATCATTCTATGTATATCTAAGATTCAAAAATGTAATACAAGATGCCCCACAAAGTTGTCAAAATAATATTGATGGTCGTCTTCGATCGAATTGATCGCGCCAGTAAAAACCTTATACAAAAAATGTGCGGTCGGAGTACCAGGGTCTCATGCCCTAGTCCGCACTTTTCTCTGGATTCGACGGCGGCAGTAATTGCTCGGTACTCGTTCGACGACCGTCACGATCGCCGCGATGCGTTCTTGTTGCATTCTCCTCGATTCTATAGACTACACAGAGCAAACACAGCGAGTCGAACGGAAGCCGCGAGTTCTCGAGCAGGTGTACGTTGTGTATTACAGACCTTTGAATATTTGCGATGATGAGTTTGATACCCACTAATACGATACGGTCTAATAACTAATACGGCCGATACGGTTCCTCGTAAGTTGTTGTGAATGGAAATTAAAAAAAAGTCGAGCGTAAGTCCACAATAATTTGTATGAGCGTTTAAACTTAGAATTTTGCCAAAATTCGTAAAAATCACGAAAATTAGCAAATTATTTTAAGTTAGAAATTCATAAAAATATTTCTATTTATCCAAGATTTAAAAATTTGGTAAAAGATTCCTTACAAGTTTATCTACCTTTAAAAAAAAAAAGAAATTCTACTAGAAAGTGAGATTAAATTTTTACGAGCGTTTGAAGTTGACATTATTACAACATTAGATATTCACTCGATTTAACGATTTTTTTTTGATTTTTTTGTAATTCACCAACGAATTACTATAGACACTTGATTGACACAAAATATTCTGACTCGCTTTAGGCTGTCGACGGACATTTCCATTTTTTTTTTTCTATAAATGTCAATACAATTTTATTGGTTTAGTCATAAAGTATGAAAATTTAATACAAGACTCTTGATCACTTGTTATAATAATAGTTGAAAAATATTAAAAAATACATAGACGCGATTTTTTTATAAACATTTAAAGTTCAAATGTTGACAATATTTATCAAATTTAACATTGAAAATAATTTTGTAGTTAAAATGTATAAAATGTTCAATTTTCATAGCTAATAATTGAAAATTTAAAACAAGGTTCCACTTAAGCAGTTTTTCCATAACTAAAAAATTTAAGAAAAAAAACAATGCAGTTATTTTTTTATAAATATTTTAAGTTAAAATTTGGACAAAATTGCATATTAACACAAAGAATAACAGTTATCATTTTGTTGTAATTCGGTTCCAAAACAGCCCGATTTTACATAGGTATATTTAATATATTTCCAACATCACTGATTATTTAAGAATAATATTAATTCAACTCTTCGCCTACCATATTAATAATAAGTAATAATAATATGAAATATCCTAGACTGGCATTCCATCTCCACTCAGAATTATTTTTCGTATACAATGATATGATATCATCGAATTCAAATATAATACCATCCATTACAGCGACCTCTTAGACACCTGATATATAGCAGAGCTACATCCACTTACCCGCTTTTTATAGTTTATTAATATTACGGATAGTAATTTATTTTTATTTTAAAAATATGTCATGTTAAAATAAATTATAATTTGTATATATCATATAATAGTAGGCATTAAACTAAATAGTATTATTTTTATTAAGTAAACAGTCAATACAGAGTAAGTATTTTTTGTTTAGGATTATAATTTAGAGTTCATAAGTTATATTTTATCTGCATATACCTAATGTATGACCATAGAATACTATCGCACTTATATAATATACGCATATTATCGTAATATTGTAATTACGTCATCACGTAATATAATGATCATAATATTCTATATAATTTTTTTCACAAAAATAATTAGGTAAGTATATTATACGAACGTAAAAATAATATAAAACGACTAAAACCAAATACCACTATCCAGCAATTATAAAGATAAAATAGGTTCAAGGTCTATTTCGTCATTTTTTTCATGTACAAAAGTGGTCTAGACGTTTCAGAGTAAATACCTAATATAAAATTACATTTGTTTGGTTATAATAATGACCTTTTAAATCATGACCATACCGGTCATCTTCTTCAGTCTTTCACAGATTATAATAATTAAAACAACCATCATTATGTATTATTATTATTTTATAGTGTTTTTATAAAGTGTATGTATTGAATATGAATTAAATATTATGTATAATACATTTCATACTTTTTTTCAGTATAATAACATAAAGTAACTTTTACTGTTTCTGCTTTATCTTTCGGTGTCTCTTTTTACTGTAATAATTAATGATTTTAAAATAATTAACAATATCAAGGCTGGTCTGGGAATACAAATTGGCCAAGGAGAAATTAGACATTTTGGGGTAATAATAAAATTCAAAAATATTTTTGTTTGGCTTAAAACATTGTTTGGTATTTTTTTAATTTTAATTTTATTACTTAGTTATACACAATACAGTTATTTTTAAAAACATTAATACATACTTTCATTATATGATAAAAAAATTAGTATTATTATCATTTAACTTTTACATTGTACAAGTTATTGGCCCAAATTCATTCAAGCAGCCTAATTTTCACAGGACCAGACAAGGATTGTACATCTACCACCCTAGCCGGTACGCCTATGCAATATATATTTATATGTTTTTTTAAATTCAAAATGTTTAAAACTATTTTAAATAATAATGTAATGTAAGAAATAAAATATATTTCTTTTACACTATAATAGTAGAAATAATCCATCTATCTATCACATTTATACTTTAGGTTTAGAGAAAGTAGATTTTGTTTTTGTATCAATTATGTTGCTAGAGCTCAAAGTCTGATGATCAATAATATTATACAGATTTACAGATTGCGTCATCAACAACGAGTACATTTTTTTTTCTACCCGTACGTGGTGTGTAAGAGGCAGCCACTGTTGTCAAAGTCAAGCCATCCGTCATGTTCCCTAACTTAGTTTAAGTTACTTAAAGGCTTCTCAACTATTGTAATTGTAGCCTGTAGTCATTGTACCAGACCGGATCGACTATAGGGCCCCATATAAACTGTACAATCCTGACTCCCCTTCATAGAGTATAAATATATTTACGTATAAGATCTATGATTCCCACGCACTTAACTCCGTGTCGTCGCTGTGCGTGTAAGGTTGTCTATCGTGTCAAACTAGGCGTGTATGCTTAGTTGCATGCCTATCACTTTAAAGGCGTAATTTGTTATCGGTCAAATATCGATGGGTCAATCGTGTTACTACTTACTATCATACCGTCGAATGTACAGCCAATATAGTTCAAGTTCAACTAAAAACAATTTTTAAGTTTTTCTTTTTGTTATCACATTTTCCATTGTCACCAAACTAAAACACAATTTTTTGAGGATAGTGATATAGCACTTCCTCTTTCTGGATAATACTAAATGGGTATCGTAAAAATAATATTAGGTGCTTAAAAATACGTTCTACCTGTACAGTGTACAGCATTGTAATTCAATTTTTATTTTCTGATGTTTAAAAAAAAAATGTTTTGTAACACAAATAGATGCATGGGTTAAATAATAACAAGTTTTATATTAGTAATAGCAAAATAGTTTTATTGGCTTCGTCGAGAAGGGTATATTACAATGTTTCCTATAATATTATTATATATTATATTATTCGAGGTTACAGGTTTGGGAAGTATTGTGCAAACGGTTCGCCCCATATGGCAATACCATCGAAAAGTTGGTACAGGACCAACGAGTGTACTCATACATCTGTTTGTTACATTATACTGGTAATTAAATTTAATAGGTAGTGTCTTGAAAATATCTTTATATATATTATAAACAGAACAAAGACGTTATTGAATAACAGAGACGAATGCACTTTTTATTACTATAATATGTTGTGTATAAATAGGATACAATAATAGTTTGGCATACGCATTGAGTTTTGTGGAAAATACAACCTCTTTTGTATGTTATATACATATTATATTATTACTATTTATATAATTTTTACATCTTATGGACAGACACCAGCCGCAGTTTGGCCACCCCTGTTAGATTTATTTGTGATAACTCGATGGCATGATGTTCGTATACAGAAATAATATATGCCCATACAAGGAAAAAACGTGGTCCTTACACACAAATAAAACGACAGGTGTTCAGATATATTTATTCAGTGTGTGTGTGTGTGTGTGTGTGTGTGTGTGTGTGTGTGTGTGTGCAGTAAACGTTGTTCCGGCGTCATTGTAGATTTTGGTTACAGAAAATAAAATAGTTGGTCATCATTTTAAATTTTTGACCTACCTATATGGCTGTATTTTATAAGTTTGGTCAAATTAACTGTGTTTATAATATTAATTGTAGCTTACATTTAACGGAAATTACAGAAATTGTATGCTATTATTTATTATAAATTTGTCTCGGACAACGCCATGAAGAATCAGCTTTTATAATTAGTAGTTAGTACAAATATATTCTATATAAAAGCAAAGATCTAAACCCTAATGCAAATCAACAAATTGATAGTTTTTGAGTATTATAGGCTACTTCTCATTGCTTACTTTTTACTTATTATTAATACATTAATGTTGAATATAGTCGAACACGAAAAACTGAAGGTAATTTTTTATTTGTATATCTTTGCAATTGGTTACAGAAAATAAAATGGTTATTAGGTATGATAAGATATAATACAATATTATAGACAAATATTTATGTTTGGTCACGACAATACAAATAAATGTATTGACAATCTGTGCAGTTTACATTTAACAGAGTTTAAGGATGTGAAAATCCATGAGCATTCAATTTTTCACGGGCATCACCGTACAAGATCTGCCAGTACCTATATAATAATAAGTAATATATTATTATATAGGTACATATTTTATTGTTTAGTTTGATTGTTTTCATCGACATTATAGTTAGCTGTTTCTTCGTGAATTGACACTAAAGTTTGATAGAGTAGAATTCGCTATGGAAACTTCAGATCTACAACAAATATAAAGCTAATTTTAGTTTGAGTGTGCGTTATCCTTATCACATATAATATACAGACATATTATAGTATTCGCCGCTTATTTTAACTAACTTTGATTTGATTAACCAATATGAGTCGATTAGACGAAATTCCAAAGAACAAAAATTTAAATGTGAACAATAAATATAGATGTTAATATGTAATATTATTTTGTAATAATAAATCCATCGTTGTGTCGTGGTGGCTACAAATCTATGTGTCAAATCAATATGTAATGATATACTACATTAAAAATTACGATAGGTGTTAGTTATACTAATATTATAGCTGCAACATTCTTCGATTAGAATGGCCAACAACTGTATATACTTTTGTCGAACTTACAAACTTTGACAGTGCGTCACATAATTCACGCGCTTATTTAATATATATTAACCCATAAGCGCTGGAGTTTTTTTATTTACAATTTTAACCAAAATTTTGTTGAAAATGTTTATGTTATACTTCAAAAATGATTGTAAAAAATATATGTTGTCATATGGCAACACACGGCGTTAATGGGTTAAAATCACATATTTATTTCTTACGGTTTGATAGAAGACGGTGTATCTGGTGAATCTATTTCCGGTTCCATGGGACGGTGACTAAATGGTTTGGCGATCGTTTGCTTGAAAATACGATTGGCTGGTTCCATATCTAATGTAGGCATTTGATTCAAATACAACGTCACTACCTAAAATTTCAAGCGATAAATAATCGTGGATACACAGGTACCAATAACCTTTGAAAAGTACAGTATACATTTCCACTACATTTTCTTTATCGAAACTTTAAACGGTTATTTCTTATTAACAATAAAGTCCTTGTTTAATAATATGCAAATATGAGTACCCATCATATTATTTGAAATAAATAACTACCTAATAATGTATTAAATGGCCGTCTGTTCTAATAAAAAAACTTATTTATCTATGTGCAGGTCTTTATTTAGTTTTTAGAATAATTTAAATTATTTGCAATTATGTATTAGAATATTTTAAATAACAATATATTTTATAAAATGTGACTATGATTAAGGTTTTAAAATATAACAACAATAAAACGTAAGTATATAGTAACGTTTTGATAGTCTCCAGTAACATGCAGGTAAACACAATTATTTTTTTGCGTATTTTTTTTTTTTTTTTTCATGATACTACACTACTACCAAAATCGCCTTCCCTCCTTTGATGTTTTATCACTAATCTACTATTTTGAATAGTTTAGAGCCCCTGACATGCTATTCTTTTGCTTACTATTACTATTAAATGTGTTCATTTATAGGTAGGTAACTAACTTTTTTGAAATCGGTTGTTGTGAGATTCTCAATGACTGCATACACATTATTTACGTTTTTGTAATGTAACCAATCATAGAACACATCATACGAGATATTGTCGTCTAGTGGTAATATCATACCAAATCGTGGTAACACGTAATACAAACGATGCGTACGATTTTTCAGTATTTCTGATCTGGCAACTAAAAGTTTGCCCAATGATCTTATATGAGGAAGGCAGTTAAGGTTTATTAATTGTTGTTTACAGTGTACGTGCACAAGGTCCATATCCGAGAAGTGTTCGAGTATTGTCAGGTTCAGAAATTCGGATTCTTTCGAGTGTTCCATTACGTATAATGTGTCATGTATTTGATACCTATTGTGTGACTGCTTATATATAGTATATTGAAATTAAATTCGTTTGATTAATTAAATACTTACTATAAATGTGCCAATTCAACAAAATGGAAGCTAATACGTATCCACGAAAACGGTATATTTACATGAAGTGTTGCAATGTTTTGTTGTGTTTTTGAAAACATACGTTTGAGTGTAATCTGATTGAATGGTAATTACATTAATGTTCAACTTTGTTTCATAACTTATGGGTATTTGATAAATATTTTTATTTCATTAGTCATTAAAATAACAAATCGATTTAATTGTGTGTAAAGTGTAAATATATTATTGTTAAGCTTGTCATAGCACAAAACTAAAAGTTGGTTTGTTGCTGTAGCGTAGGAAAAAAAAACAATGGTTTTTGAAATAAATCGATTTTAGTTTTTGGTATAACTATTAAAAAAATTACAGTAGATACAAGAAACTTTCACTGAATGTTTATATTAGCATTTTCTTTACACCATACAATTTTCAAAACATTTTTAGTCATGTTGAGCTATTTATAAGCGTAATATATATTATATTTTTTAAATTTCTAATTCTTATTAGTTTTTTTAATTAATATTGATTAGAACCGTAATACAAGGTTACCCGACAATTGTTGTTATAGTGAAAATAAAAAAAAAAGTTGAGAGTAAACCTACAATTATTTTTTATGAGTTTCTGAATTTCAAATTTGGACAAAATAAGAAAAAATCATAAAAAAATGCAAATTATTTTGCCTAAGAAGTTCTTAGAATTTTCTTATTAAATCTATGATTTAAATATTGAATACAAGATTCCTCATAAGTTTGTCTAAATTCATCCTTAAAATTCTAGTTTGTTTGAGAGGCGGGGGGGGGGCACGTATAACGCCCCTAACAGTAACGTTTGCATGTATAAATACGCAAATTATTAATCTTATCACAATTTACATAGATCATATATTTGTAATAATTACAATAAGTCAAATAACTTAACCTACATAATATGAATATATTATATTATGCTCTACGCACTAAACTATGTTCAAATTGAATTCGCTCACAAATGTCCATTGCGTTAACTAACCAATCACTATAAACTGTCGATGGTCAATAATCATATAGCTGTATAATTAAAATATATTTAATAATTTAGTAGAAAATAATAAATGATAAATCTATATTTTAAAACAATAGCATGTTTAAGCACGCACATTTGGCAATTGGTATTAGTTGTTTGCCGTTCGCAGACGAATACAAAGGAGATTAGGGAAACGTGAGTATATAGGGATGAAATAAATTGCATCACTGCAAAAAACACATTTTATTAATCCACTGGAACGGGTAAGTTGTTTTTTTCTATAGGAAGACGTTGTTATAATAGCTTTTCTGGGATGTTAGTGATCAGTTTAGTACCTACATTATTCCATACAAATATATACCTCAGTATTTTTTTCGGTCTAACACAGTACAACATATGCCGAGGAACCGAGACATACACACGCACGCGCACACACAGACGGAACACACACACAAACACCCATTGCATATTATTGTGCTGTTAAAAGCAATTCAAGGTCGCTGGTGTCGTCTCGTACAAGATTTGTTCGTCGGCGGCGCACACAACTGTCTGATGGTAAATGTACCTCGCGTTCCGAACAGACTACTCCTTTTTACCTACTGCATGCAGTTAATATATTTTATAACTGGTTCCCAAAGTTATATCACACATCGTTGTAAAATTAATATTAGATTCACCACTCGGAATTTAATATTGCATGAATCCTCAATATAAATTACCTACACAATAATAATGGACTATATTATTATAATATTGGTAACACGTATTGTCTTAACACACATACAAAGAATACCAAATGTAGTAGCCTAAGTTAAAAGCATAGCATGTACAATGTATTTATAAGAATATAAAAAAAATCTTAAAAATATAATAAAATATAATATACGATTTTGACAATTCCACCACAAACTATACTGTAAAATGTCAAGTTCGTGTTCTTAAACAAAATGAACGCGATGATTTAAATTATTAAATGATACTATAACGTTGAATTTAATATTTATATTGTACAATATTATATTGAACTCAATTTTCAATGGCATCGCCTATAACAGTACCCGTGCACTACAGTACAAAACGATAATAATGCCTTACTATACTACTTTAGTTAAATAAAGAGAATTATGAGCATAATAAAATATTTGATTTTTGTGCTTAATTAAAATGTTTTTTTTCTTTTTACTTTTATTCGTTTTATTTTATAAATGTCTGTATTATTATGATATGTGTGGCGATAAACTGTGTGCGAGCCGCAGTAACTTAATATATATATTTGTGGGCCATTGGGTCATAATATAGTCATTAAATGTAGTCTTGGAAATTTTTTATCGGCTTATAACGTTCCTGATAATATCTATAGAAAAACACTGATCACTTAAATATTTAATATAAGCACCGATTATCATTTGGTTAACGTTATAACAACTTATATTTTGTGTCGGTGCTAATACCAAATCATTCAGTTACTTCACAGTAATATTGTAGCCTGTAGGTATCTAAAATGCGAAGGGTTCTGAAATTCAGGCGTCAGTTTTAGTTCCCACCCTCGCTCATAAATCACAGTCCCACTTCATATGGTTATAATGTTATATGTATTGAACAAAAATACTTCTTAGGAATGCGGTTTTTTCTTTTTTGAGTATCCTGCAGGTAGTTTAAACACCACATGAAATTTATCCGTTGTGTAGACCCAATAAATATATATATATATTATATAGAACATATATACTTCTTTGTCTGCACACCCTCTTTTCGTATACACGGTCGGTCGCATTATATATATAATCTCGCCACCATCACAACCTAACCAGCGTATATATACCTATATGTACAGTATTTTTTGTTATATTTAGAGGGTGGTGATTTATATATATTTCGATGTCGGCAAATAACCATTATGTTTACCGACTGGCAATGGCAGCTGCAGCATATTGATGCCGGGAAAAAAATGACCATATATAGGCATGACCATACAAAATAAATTATATATATTATACGATGCCTATCGTCTCATTTTGGGTCGAAAGTATACATACTATACATACTATACATACTATACATACTATACATAGCCACCAGCCAATTAATTATACTATTATATAGCTATATTCTGATCCTGTGTTAAAAGGGGGGTATTTATGTTATACATATTTCTATATTACCTATATGTTTTGAATGAATATCCTCTCATGAACTTGGTCGTGTAGAATATTGATAAATTACTAATTCGGCCCGTATCTGTGGTGAAAACTTTGTGTTGTCAGTTGAATATGTTCTAAATATAGTCAGAAAATTGTATTATCCTATCGTCTTGTAGTTGCTATGTCATTATATATTTATATTGCACTTAAAACAATCTTCAACCATATGATAACTTAAAAAAGAAACTACAAAATATAATTTTAAATTATTACTTTTATCAGTATTGTTGCGTTATTGTAAGCTTTGTTTAAGCCTAGCTGCTGTATTTTCGTGTAACTACCAATTTTGTTCAAGATGAAATCATTTACTTCAATAGAAAGCCAAACATATAATTGTTATCTTGCAACATTTTAGATAGCTTTTCCAAATCAGGATACGACCGAGTTTAACTAAATTTTAAGTTATTTTTTTATGCAATCCTACTTAATGTCGAAATGCCTGAAAATAGAATTGTGTAATCTTTGATGGTATAGCAAAATGTAATAACCACAGGTGAGACTAATTTATTGTACAATAAACAGTAAATAGTTGATAATATAATTACGGAAAACTTTTGATTATTGTACCATCCACAAAATATTTAGTGAATGCAAGCACTTTTAAAATGTTTAATTTAGAGAAACCTTCTATATCTATTTCTTTACTATTAACTAACAAAAATGTTCATTTTTAATTGTTTTAAATTCTATGTTTTCAAAACTGTCGTGTACTCGTGTAATTAAAAAAAAGTGGCTGATAATTTTAGTAGGATTGAAGTTGGAGCATTGCTTAAATTTATCAACTTTACGCCCTGAGTAGTTAAGGGTTCAGCATCAGTGTTTTTTAATTTAGAATTAATGAATTTAACCTACAGCCACTTTCAACGTTTTATTACTTTCGATTTTCATATGAAGTTCATTTTTATTTAATTGAAAAAAATATATAGGTATTAGTAAAGCAAATTAAAAACAAGCTACGATCAAATGCTCACTATAGCTGCTAGTCATGTTATAGTAGTGTATAATATATTATGTACATCAATCAATCAAAGATTAATACTTATCTTTAAAACGTACAGCCGACCGGAAGTCGTAATATCTCAGGCCACTATTTACATAATATGGTAAATAAATTCTAGTTAATAGGTATTGACTCCTCTCATAACATTTTAATTTTTTTATGAAACTAAGTATTTAATTTAATAGCGAACTACATTTTATTGATTTAATGAAACAGAAAATAATTGTAATGTAAATCAATAAACCATACTCCATTATAAAGAATGAGTTTAAATTAAATTCACATAATACAACGACGAACAACGGATAAAAGATTTTTTTTTAATGCTAAAGGTTAGGTTAGGACGTAAGGTTATAATGTCTATAGTTTAGTACAAACCAGTTTTTAATCTACATCCTATGCTCATTACAGCAAAGAAGCGTTTACACACATGACGCATGTACATCAATTAGGCCCCAATGTCAATTTAGTGTAAAGTATAACAACATAGACCATTACATTCAGAAGAATCAATTTTCCTCAATAATTTTTAACATTATAGAGGGGGGCCAAAACTATGTATGCACGGTTTGAGCCCTTTGTGCATGGCACGGCACTCTGTGAACACTTAATTTTTGAGGCACTGCCCGTTTGTCTTGAATTTTGTTTTACAATGACATCAGGTATAATATTCTCGTGTCTCTCAAATACGAATACCATTTATAGTAGCTGTTTCCATTTTTTTGGTCTATACATTACTTTTTTTGTCTTCTTTTGATTTAAAAACACATTCAATATCTTCCTAAAATGTCCAAGAGTCAATTTCATCTATTGGTAAACCTATTGATGTATCAGGTATGCAAGCACACCTAAAATAAAAAGAGGTGGAGTGGTGGACAATCGGACATCGCTCAATAAAGGAGATTGACTATAAATATTTAAAAAGATACATAATATGATTCAAATAAAATTATTTTTAAAAACTATTGTTAGGACTCTACACTGGCATTTGTAATCAAATCGTCTTACAACGCGTATAACATATCAAATTTAGCAGTTTGTTTTTTAAAAAGTTTTGCGAATATAATGAAGCGTAATTTAAAAAGGCTCATAATACTCTCTTAAAGACAGAATTGTAGTAAAAAACCCACATTCAAAAGCGGGATATGTTGTTACTATCAATTTTCATTATATGTCGGCTTACACTAATTTTTAAACTAACGAAGCTGTTAACGTGATCTGCTAAGCGTAAATTTAGTATGCTACTCAATTATATTACGGAGACAACTAATATCTTTGTACGTTCCTCTTAAAATATATTTAATCATACATACATATTATGACGTATTTATTAAAATTCCTAGGTATTGATATAATTATTAATTTTGTTACCTGTCAACATTTCCGGTAACTTATTTGTACCTAGGTATATTAGAATGTAAATAGCCAATTCCTTTTTTATCATAATATAACGTAAATTAATAATATAAAATATTATATCGGCTACTTGCAGTAGTCTGGTCATTATCCACCAGGGCGCGTCTACTCAACTGTTTTTCTTTTCTATGGTTGTTGCCTCTTTACCAATGTATCATCCCGTCGCCGTTCATTAGTAGTTTCTCGTACGTAGCAAGTAGAGTTATACAGATTATTGCTTTCGGCTGGTTTGCGGTAAGTTTTTTTTGTGTTGAAACTTTAATTTTTTTCTTATTGCCTGTTGTTATTCTATTTTATGGGCATTTCAATCACATAATAGGTAGGTAGATACACAATATATTTGCGTAGTTACGATAGGATTGGTTTAGATAAATTTAATAAAGTTCGTTTCATTAAAATACAAAAATAAAATATTATTTTAATTCAAACTATCTTGTGTATTTTTTATTGTGTGTCGTTGTATATTTTATCAAAATTAACCAAACATATTTATAAATGTAATGTAATGTTTGTTCACATTGTATATTATGTAAAATGTAAATGTTAGGTTACCTACACCGCTATTACTTTCTTTAATGTGTAGTTGTAACTTGTAACTTGTAAGTGTTCCCCAAGAAATAGAATATGAATAAATTAATATAAAATGTAATTATTTTGATGTAAATAAGTAATAACGTAGAACCTGATTTAAATAAAACTGTTAAACATTTTAATAGATAGGTAGATAGAAAAACTAGTTCATTGATTTTTTTTCTCATTTGTTTTCAGATATTATTATATTAATTCCTATTCATAAAGATATTTAAGTTATTTTCAAACGTGATACAATATCAACTAAAATAGCATTGAAATTAAAGAGTTAAAATTAAAAGGGCTGTATAGAATATGGTACAAGTTAACTTTACCAGGACACACCTCAGGATTTCGAATTTTTTTTTTAAAAGACGTGTTTTCAACTCTGATTTCGGTTATGTTTGAATTTTTTGAGGAAACCATTATTTTGGAATTTATTGCATTCCAAGGTTTGTCATTTTAAGTTTATACGTATGAGTACCACACTACTTTACTGCCTCACAGAGTACATGATTAAGCACATAATTTGCGAGCTTCACTCGACAAAAAAAAATCGAATATCCCTCGACTTGTGTAAAACTTCTTGGTGTAGGTCTTTGAATTGAACAACGTTGTTGGATATTTCAACAGACTCGATGACTAGTCTGTTAATCTAACATAAGTATTTTACAGTAATATCATGGCTCCGCGTAAAGTAGTGACAAATCGTAAAATCGCTTGGAAACTTTGGAAGGCTATACTTCCACAAAAAAATTCAATCAGTTTCAAAATCAGCGTTGAGAAAAACACTTTAAAAAAAAAATGCGAATTTGTGAGGGGCGTAGTAAAGAGCATTTTAGCTCCTACCTTGCTTTTTTTAAATTTATTTTTCTTACTATTTATTGTAAAGTACCTAGGTAATACAATTTTTAAATTAATTTATAATAAGCAGTATTTACTTATATAGTTATATTAGGTATTAAATGAGTTATGAGTTACCAGTATCTAAAAATGTATAATTACAAAAATATAAATATATTTTGAGTAGGTACTTTAATCAGTTTAATTACCTATATTTTTTTTTAAGTTAATTATATAATTATAATACTTAGATATTTACTTATTGTTATATTCATAGAAGTGAATGTATATATCAGAAAATACGTTAAAGTTTTGGATTACACAAAATTAAGAAGATTACAACACAAATATAATATAATTTTTTAGAATTAAAATTTGTATAAACTTATTTTATGTTTATTTTGTTACAGATAAATTGATAAAGTAGAAGCTTAATTTATTAAGTCCGTCAAAAATTTAACAAAATGTTCAAAATGATGGGTTTCTTAAGTAAACTACCGCATAAAATAGCTGGACAAAATATGGCCGTCAATATTATGTCTAGAAGTATGGCTTGTAAAAATGTACCACAAAAAATGGAAGATTATTTCAAAAACAAAAAAATTATAGTGACTGGATCTTGTGCTGGTTTGTTACACAATTAAATAATAGACAATATCATATATAAATATACAGATAAGTGTATATGTTAAAGTTAAACACAGGAACAAACTTGTATAGGACAAATAGGTATTATAATTTATTATAGCATACAGTTTATGCTCGAGTATTTAACATAATATAATATCAACATAAGTGTATGAGACTGTTTGAGAAGTTTTCATAAAAAATAAACACAATTAAAAACAAAATTATATAGGTTTTTTTTATTTAAAAATTGTAACCACCTTTTATAAGTGTTTTAAATTTCCGCACTGTTCCTCCAATTTGAATTTCATAAAAACTCTGATAAGATGAAAAGCAGTTATATAGTTAATTGCCCTTGATATTACTCATGCCTACGTAATTAGTCTGTTCATTATCTGGAATTAAACCTCTACATTTTAAAATTGTTTATCTAAAAAATACAGGATATCGTCTCATTAAAGTTATTAAAACATTAAATTAAAATATTTTCTAATCTTGAACTTTTTGTTAATAACCTTATATTGACTCCTAATAAAAAGTATTTAAAAAATAAAATAAAATATTAAAATAAAAATAATAAAAATAATATTAATAATTATAATCAATTTAATTAATTTTAACTATATTATTATTATTTGATTAATTAAAATATTAAACCTAAGTGTATTGTGATAATACTATATTATTTAATGTCATAACCACTTAATTCAATTTTTGTTTAGTTATAAATAAATACAATCTATTATAAGTTGTATGGCTTTTTAACAATCAACTTGTTTTTTAAAGCCGATTGTTGAAAACTATTTGATGAATAATAATAAACCTAATATAATTTTTTTCTTAGGTATGGGCGAAAAAATTACAGAGAGATTACTAGATTTGGGTGCATTTGTTTACGCAGTGGTAGAGAAGGAAGAGGGAGCTGCTAAAGCATTACCAAGAACAAAACAAATATTTTGTGATGTTTCAAATTGGGAGGACACTTATAAGAAAATGTATGACATCGGACCAGTACATGGTTTGGTCAACAATGCTGGTGTGGCTGTTATAGAACCATTTTTTGAAGTCACCGAACATGGTTGGGATAAGTTAGTAAAATCTTAGTTTTTATCATATACCTAGTATTTAAATCTTTAACAAGTAAGTTCCTATAACATTGTGATTATTAGAACTTAATATTAGCTTTCATCATCTGTTCTGTAGATAAGAAGACTTCTCTGGACATGTATCCCCTTTTCATGTTACCCCAAATTTCTTTTAAATTAATTTTCAGGTATTTAGATCAGTGTTTATTAACTGTGGGAACCTCTAGAACGAATATTCATTTTTTCGTAATTTTTTTGTAATGAATGGTATTACATTTGAATTCAATAATACGTATAATATTATAATCTTTGTATGCGAAAAACTATTTTGAGCGGAAACCGTATGTCAGTCTGACAGTCTAGGATATTTTATATTGTTACTACTTATTATTAATACAGTTGCCGGTATGTTGGATTGATATTATTCATAATATTATTCTTAAATTATCAGTGATGCTAGAAAAATATTAAATATACTTATGTAAAATTTAGGCTGTTTTGGAACCAAATTACAACAAAATGACTAAAATCGTTATTCTTTGTGCGAATGTGTAATTTCGTCTCAATTTCTCAATTTGAACTTAAAATAACTATAAAAAAGTTATGTTTGTCTATTCTTTGATTTTTGGTTACATAATTAACTACATTACCTAGAACCTTGTAAATTTTCAATCCTCGGCCATTAAAGTTGAACATATTTGTATACATTTTTAACTACAAAATCATTTTTCAACTTTCAATGTTTTAAGTATTCCAAATAAATGAAATATTTTTTGTTCAGGACTTTGAATGTTAATGCCAGAGCCTTAGTGAGAGTAAGTCAAGCAGTGGCCAGAAACATGATTGATGCTGGTATCAAAGGATCTATTGTCAATATTTCTTCGACAATTTCAACTGTAAGTTATAATAATGAAGTGCCTACTATAAAATTTGTCACAATGACTATAGTATGTACCTATTTAACTACAGTGGCGTAGCCAGGAATTTCAAAGTAGAGATGTTAGGAAAAATAACAACCTACATTGAAAAAATAAACAATAAATATAATTATAAAAAAATAATACCGAATTTGTCTATAGTAATATTTATATTTTAAAAACAAATTTAAGTATTAATTTATATTTAAAATAAAAAAAAAATGTCTACAAAATAAGTATTAAAGTAAATTTTATTTTTACACTATATTATTCGTTATATTTACATGGTAAATGTGATTCCGATTAACAAATAACTATAAATCTAAGACAATTATAGTTCGTTTCATCAATATTCAATAATCAATCTTTTTAAATCACTATTTTATTATAGTTATACATATGGCTACGCCACTGTCTGGCTATAAATAATATATACATATATACATAAATACCTAAACATACCATACAAGGTAATATTGTTCTAACAAAATAACTTATAGGTAGTTTAATTTATGTTCTAAATTGTGTACATGCACCAAATATTTTCTTATAAGCGTTGTACATAATATTATATTAAAAAAACACAAAATGAACACGTCTTACTGCTGTCACATTAGGTGTTATATACGTAGGTGGTAGTTGTGTCTTATAATATTATCACTGGACCACAATATGATTTACAATATTTACTTTTAACTTTCTAGAGAGCCATACCCGATCATACAACATACTGTGCATCTAAAGGAGCTGTGAATCAAATAACCAGAACAATGGCAATCGAGCTGGGTAAATGTGGTATCCGTACAAACAGCGTAAATCCAACTGTCGTGTTGACCCGTATGGGTAAAATTGCATGGTCAGATCCCGCGAAATCCGAACCCATAATGAAACGAATTCCACTGGGCAGATTTGCAGGTTTGTGTATAATAGAATTCTAAGAGTGTGTTGAAATTGAAACTTATCTAACTAACCTAACCTAACCCTCGCTTACTCGACAAAAATATACAAAATATATAATAATGTTCAATCTTGTGTTAATGTTATATTTTAGAAACCGATGACATCGCGAATGCTGTGATTTTCATGCTCAGCGACTATTCTACAATGGTGAACGGAACATCCCTCGTAGTTGACGGCGGATTCTTGGCAGGATAGACAACTTTGCTGCAAAACAAAATTATTAGAATTCACTAATTCAAAACAAAAAGCTACTTTAAAAAAAAATTTCATGACACACATTGTATGCAATATATTTATTACACGCATTTTACAATAACTCATATCATACGTTTTTGACAATAAACTGTGAATTCTGAAACATAATATGTGTTACATTTTATTTTCAATCTGTAATGTTTTTACAAACACTATTTTTATTCAAACATGAACTGTCATAACACAATCGTAGGTACATAGAGTTTCCACAAACGTTTGATACACTTCGGGTGGAATTTTCTATTTCTATTTTATATAATTTGCACATAATAAATTAATAAACAATGTTCTTTTAACAAATTAGCCACTTGCTAATAATCGTATAACATGTATAAACATGTCTACTGTCCAGTTTGTCTTGATTATCGTGACTTAAGTGTACCTATTTATAATATTATACTATAATCACTACATATTATATTCATTGGCATATGGCCACTACACACAGTATACAATTTGGTATAATTACTATAAGTAGGTACTAGTACTACTCTTTTCTTGGATTATCTATTTTTATATTGTTTAAACTGTTATCATTGATTTTATCGTTATAATCAGTGTTGGGCAAGTTAACTATTTTTTTAACTCGTTAACTTAAGTCAATATAGACAAATGTAAGTCAAGCTTAAAGTTAAAAGTTACTATAATATGTATATAATAATATAAACTAATGTTGATAAAAAAATTTTCGTCAAAAAACTTGTAGATGTAATACAAAGTTGTTCGTAAATTGTTGTTAAAAAATCTATTACCTATATTTTTTTATGAGATTTTGAATTTAGAATTTTGACAAAATTCGTTATATCACGAAAATTAGCAAATTATTTTGGGTTAGAAATTCAAAAAAATTTTTCTTTTTATATCTAAGATTTAAAACGTTAGTACAAGATTCCTTAAAAGTTTGAACACCTTTATCAAAAAAAAATTCTACTAGAAACTCAAATTACATTTGTACGATATTAAGAGTATATTAACCTAACCTAAGCTGAAATGTTGACAATATTGAATATTCACATAATCTCATGTACCAATTTTCTTATTCTGTTGTAATTCAAAAACGAATTGCTGTAGATACTTGAAATTTACAAAATATGTTTATTTCATCAATTCATATACTTGATACAATTTTCAAAAATTGTTCACTCGTTTTAAGCAGTTATGACGGACATATTTAATTTTCATTTTTTTAAATTTTTTTTTCTATATATGTCAATAAAATTTTATTGGTTGGGTCAAAAAGCATGAAAATGTAATAAAAGACTCTTAACATATTGTTACAATAACAGTTGAAAAATATTAAAAATACATAAACACGATTTTTTTCTAAGCATTTAAAATTCAAATTTTGAAACATTTATATTATTCGAAATTTACAAATAATTTTATAGTTAATAATTTTTTTAATTTTCAACTTTTATAGCTAAGGGTTTAAAATTTAAAATAAGGTTCCACGTAAAGAGGTTCTTCTGTAACAAAAAATTTAAGAATTTTCAAGCACAGTTTTGTTTTTTTAGTTGTTTTATGTTCAAATGTGGACAGCATAGTGTGCAGCGATTTCAAAACAGTCAAATTGTTCCGGTATCACTGATAATTTCAGGATAATATTACTTTAAATTTCAACTTACCGGCTACCCTATTAATAATAAGTTATAATAACATTATAAATATAGTATAAAATATCCCAGACTGACAAACCGTCTCTTCTCATAGCCTTTTTTCGTATACAATGATTTTATATCATTGAATTCAAATTTAACTCCATCTATTACAGTGGCTCACTTGTAAATTGTAACCTACTGTACAGCAGAGCGACATCCACTTCCTAACTTTTTTTTTTTAAATATAAAATTAATAATATTATACCTACCTACCTTTTTTTTAAAGCTAACAAATAACATTAATAATTCAATAAATAACTTAAAATGTTGAAATAAATGTTTGGGTATAATACTTTAATCAATGATGAAATCCAATAAATAATTAAATTATTTGTATGTGTTTGTTTACGTAAATGGTAAACAACTATACTAAATATTATAATTATCAAATTCATTAGGTATTATTTTTCTAGAATATAATTAATTAGTTGCAAAATATATAATATCAAATACTATTAAATTAATATTAAGAATACAATATTTAATCAAACCATTATTGTATTTTACCATTTTAGTAGTCAGAATCTAGTGAGGTGCATTTGTATATCGCATATCGCCAAAAACTAAGCTTTTCAACATTCATTCTGTAATTATCATTATAAAACCATGATCATTTACCAAACATTTTAAAACACAATACTTTTAAGGTTCAGTCCATGATCTCTATCCATTCTAAATACGACAAATTTCCACAATACTACGGTTTTAAATTATTTACACCGACGGGCAAAGTTATTGCTGTAAGTCTATGAATTAATAAAAATATATTAATAGTAAGTAATAATATTAATAACGATTAAGTAGGTACCTAATGACCAGGGCTCGGGAGTTGTAGGAGCTAAAAAAGGCAATAAAACATGCATTCGAATATGCACGAAAAAATGTGAATTAATAATGTTAAATATGCAATAAAATTATTCTGGATTCCAAAAATAAAATACATCAGATCTCAATAAATTAATAATATACATAAAAACAATTTATAACTGAACAAAAATTATAACTGGTTGGCATTTTGACATCTCATTGAGCTGAAAATAAAATATAAAATATTTTTCAGTATTTTTAAATTACGAAAAAAATACATGTTTTCTAATACCTATCAATTTATTGCATTGAACCACGGATACTTTCTTAAGATTTTCAATTTCAAATGAAAGACGATTTTTCTATAGAAGATTTTTATATCGAAACAAGTTGTTTTTAACAATGATGACAGTAAATACCTTAGTTGTTAAATTTGAGTTTCGTGTTCAATATTGATTGAAATATACAAGTTAAGAAAGAAAATAATCAATTTTTAATAGAAAAATATGAAACATGCATAATACGTGTACAAAATCAATGAAATATTCACCTTTTTTTAGCTCAAAAATATACATTTCCAATTTTCAATTTATTAACTCACCATTGTATACTTCAGATTTCTAGCTATGTCTGCTATAAATTGAGAGCATATAGAACAATATGCAATTCCTACAACTTCCTAGCACCGGACTAATGACTAATGACTAATGAGTCTACAAACATTACAAACGTGTATGGGTTACTGAGTAAATTGTTATATTTTTCTTTTATTAATGAAGCGGTTACGCCTATAAAATTTTACCTATAGTTACCTATATTATATTTTCTGTAAATGTGCAATATAATAACTATTATTATAAACTATTATTTACTGATTAATATACTAATATTTTAGATTTTTTACTTATGAAATTAATTTTAAATCTTTGATTTAGGAAAAACAAACTTATTGTGAAGATAAAATTAATTAACTCTTAAGTTACTGAAAACATTGGAAAAAATGAGTAACTCGTTAAGTTAGAAGTTACTCCCAAAAAATGGTTAATTTAACTTAGTTAAAAGTAACTTAACTTTATAACCTAATTAATAATTTTGTAACTTATTAACTCGTTAATGCTCAGCTTTGATTATAATAATAATATCATAAACTTGATGTCGCTCGGTGTATATGGTAGATGATAAGTCATGGTGACTATAGTGTAGTTGTACTCAATGGTAATGTACTGTTGAATATTGAGTTTGTGTACTTGCGTATTTTGACGTGTTGTTCAAGTGCTATGCTATACTATTATAATTTATAATATATTAATTATAAAATAGAATACAATGAAACCTGTCTTATCCAAACACTTGATAAGACGGAATCCTTTCTGTGCGGAAATTTATTATGATCCAGGCAGATTTCTATAATTTAACATAGGATTAAACCCTTGATAAAACGGAAAGCTATTTATTGGTCAAAAATATTACAAAAAATATTAATGAAAATAATAATAATAATAATACCCGCATTTATTTTGCTAATAAACAATTATTAAGGTCAGCGATTAATACGTATCGGCAGATAAGTACATTTTATCTTGAATCTACACATCAGTGCATATATTATTGTCACCGTAGTCGTAGTTTACCTGTCGTTTCGTATTGTTGTATTTGTTCTCATAATGTCTTCAAAGATTTGTTTAAGTTTAGGTCTTTGATATTTTTTATTAATGGCCGGAAAATGTTACAACCTTAATCGTGCAGAATATTATAACTCTATAGGTACTACGGAATTTTCCTTTTTATTCAGTTGTATGGAAACCTGCCTAAAACGGAAATTTTTATTGGTCCCGTGCAATTCCGCACAAGACAGGTTTTACTGTATATTATGTTATATACTATGTTCAACACAGTTTTAACCTCGATGCCGATATTCTTGTTCAATGTGCCCAATTCTAACATAAAACAAAAACGATTAAGTGGTTCGAAATTTTTGATATAAAAAAAAAAACAGTGCAAAGTAAAAAAAGAGAAGACAGTTAGAAAACTGGGAGATTTGATATGTACCATCTATTTTAAGATAATGTAGTTATATGCAAATATAGTATATACCAGGAGTAACCAATTAATACTTTCCGTGGGCCACATTAAGAATTCGGAAAATTTTCACGGGCCATAAAAATGTAAAGTACATAATATTTAATATAAACATGCCGATTGGCCAAAACTAATGTACAAAAATAAGAAATTATTGGCTTCTTTTCATCTCATCCACGGGCCGGATATGGCCAGCTAGCCGCCATTTGGTGATCCCTGGTGGCTGGTATATACCTTATTTTTTAGTCATTACTATAATTCATAGCTATATAATAAGCCATATTGAATATTCCAGTGGTGAAGCATCATAGGAGACAATATATGTATTATATTATATAATATAATGTAATATAGACATTTCATGGCATTCAATTGCATTTCAAATTAATATAGGGACTAATTGTTTCTTCTGCAGAGGGCATTAATATCAATAATTGTAGGAAATTAAAATAATAATACATATAATATGCAGTTTCTGTGTTAGGTGTATTAAAAAAAAGTTTAATATTTTCATGCAAACATAAAATATGAATAGTTACATTATTAGATTTATCTAAAAAAAATAAATGAATAATTTTCTACCTACAGTCATATCTCGTAACTTAATACAATGTAAGTAGATTTCGTTTTAGGTTAAAAAAAAATGTTTATAATATAATAATAAAAATAAGCAAAATAATACTACAAAAAATAATCGATACATGTATTATGTGAGTATTAGTAGTTTGTGATAAAGTACTTACCAAGATTAGTAACTTAAATATCTACTAGAATAAAATGTTATTGGCATCTTTGTATACCAACTACTTTAAAAAAAAACATAAAAAAATTAATTTTATATAATGATAAACACCTAGAAACAAAATTGTTATAGGTAGGTACTATATCTATCAAAAATGTAAAAACCAAATCATTATTTTCTTTGTTTTCTGTTCGCATGAATGTAGCTAACTTGGTTGGTTTTATGATCACTTACATTCAGGCCTTCATCAGCTGGTTCTAAATACAATATAAAAAAAAGTTAGTTCAACTTACTATAATCTTAAAAAAAATCAAGTCTAATTTTAAATAGGGGGAAGGTACCCACATAATTTAATGTAACTACTAACAATTATTAGCAAAATGAAACTTACCTTTCAAGTGCTTAGTGACAAAAATTGTTTGACTTGTCCCAATCTTCAGCAAGTGATAAATTGAACATTGAATACTCTGCGTTACCAGTAACCTCAGCTTCAATGTCTAGGAATTTTGGTAAACGGTCAAGAAGCTCTTGGCCTTCAAGAATGGAATACGTCTCTAGTAATATCAACTTTTCACACCTAAAACCAGTTATAAAATATTAATCATAAAACAATATAAGATATCCAGTGAAAATACAAATAAGTTTTTTAAATTATTTGTCTAGTACCTTTTATGACAAGGTTTACAATAAATGTCCAACTGATAATACTGATTGTGATGTATAAAGCATCGCCTTTTCTTATGAACTGGATAGTGGGTTTCATCTTTCTGCTGCAACATATTCATATAGTCTCTTTGACTAATCTGCGTTCTCACTTCTACTACTTGACCTTGGACCTTAGGCTTACGAATTGTATGTGTATAATTCCAATGCCCTGCAAACAAAAAAGCATGAAGTCTGTGTCGTCATGTAAGCAAATACGAATAAAGAACCTTTTTGTCCTCGTTTTCGTAGGCGAGCTTGCATATTATTTGTATATGTCTGCAAGTAGTTGTGTACCACCTTAAAATCTTGAAATGGAGGGAAGAACTCATCTTTAGGTAGATATTTCACCAGCCATTTACGTTTTTTTGAGTTAGATGCTAATCTATCAACAGTGTCTATGCCCAAATTTCGACAAACAGTCTATACAGTATCAATAAAAAAATAAAAAATAAAAACACTCTCAGAGACCACCAATAGTTAAATTAATATTGATACTTACAGCTATCATTCTGCATATTTTATTTTCAAAATCTGATGAATTATCAATGACATCAAAGTATGGGTGTCCAATCCATGACTCTGACGCTTTGATGTCTAAACTTTTAGCTAGGGCAATGTCTTCACTCCTGCTCGTATGATTCTGAAACGGAGGTCATATGACTCAAATCAATTAAATATATTAAACACAATATATAAAAGTTTTTGAAGTTTTCACCTCAGTTGTATAAAAATGTTCAGCCCCACATGCAGCAGATACCATGTGAATTATTTGATTGTAGCGATTGTCTCTCAAATCAATCATGTTCAATCCGTTTTTTTTCATTATAAGATTCCATTTATCACTAGGCATATCTACAAAAATAAATCGGTAATTGTTCAATAATTGTTAAATGAAAACAATTGTACAATTAGTGTTGCTATGTTTTGTAAAAAAAGTAGTGTTTTCACTTGAATAGTTGAATGAATAGTTTAAAAAAAACTGTATCAAGAAAAATTTGAAGTATTTTAAGTACTGCAGGAATGTAAACAATAGAATACAAATATTACATAGTACCTATACAGTACACACAATATTATGTAATTTATATTTTGTAAATCATCAATAACATGTACATTGTACATCATAGAATTATTATGGAACTGTCATAAATTACTACGTTAATAATAATAAACAATTGACAATTTTTATGATTATTATGTCTGGAAAATTATTATTTGGTAATTTAAATTGTTTGGAGTTTTTTTAAATCAGTTGAATCTTATTTCTTTCATTTCATTAAAATAAGTAATAACTACATTTTTGATTACCAGCACTATTTTTCCCAGTATATTTGTATTTGTATTTATATTTCTAATTATTAAAATATTAATTAAAATTAATATCAAAAAAAGTAATTTTTGTATTACATGCAGAAGCATCCATGGCACCTCTATCACAAATAATTAGACAGTCTTGATCGCACGATTCACCCAGTTCAAAGTACGTTTTTTCTAACTGTAACATACATTTGAGAAGGTTCTCTTGAAATGTATAGACTGCAACAGAAAACAAAAAAAAAATATTATGAGGCTAATGATCAGTGGTGGCACGTTATGCATAAATATTATAGAATGGATAGACCATTTGTGATCATCACACGGGGAAGTAAATGAAAATATAGATATCTCATCACAAATATATTGATGTTAAATTATATTTTGTGCTCGGGACGGCCTTATATATATTAGCTACTTGATTTGACACGTCGGTTAGTAATAGGTTCATACATGGGAGCACACACAATGAGTGTACCGGGCCTAATTTTATCGTGCCACGCTGGCATGTGGCGTCGATCGTCGAAGCGATAATGTACCACTGTACATTGGCCATTAATTACCACCAGTGGGCTGCCATTTTTCTTATTACTTTTTATTTTACCGTAGTAAAAAGATTTAAAAAAATGAAATTTAGATAAGTAGGTACATTATTTTGGATATGTGACTATAAAAAAATTAATATTTTTGCACCATCTTACATAGGTACATCTTATGCTTTTTTTTTGTGCACCGCCTTATGTGAACATCACTAGCCACCACTTCCATAGTGCCATTGCCTATCCATTCTTCAATATACAGCGTTACGCAAATGCGTAAATTGAAATAAAGGTGGGCGAGTAGCTGTTGGTAAGCTGTATAGTCGCGATAAAGGAAGTGTGTTAATTTTATTTATGTATACTTGTAGGAATAACGATTTATAAAAAGAAGAAATGAAATATACGATATAATAATTTATAGGGTGAACATAAAATCAATCATGCCTGGTGAAAAAAACATACTATTATGAATGATTTTGATAGATGACCAAAAAATAATTTTTTATCGCCAAATTAAAGGATACAAATGAACCTCATGAACAGCTTGACTAAGACAGATAAATTATTATAATAATATATTACTTCGTCTATGATAACTAACCTTGTTCGTCACTTAATTCCGAAAATTTGATGCCTCCACTGTAAAAAAAAGGAATGTATTAAAACTTATGAAATAGCCATGTATATATGCATGTATTTAGCTGCAAAGGTAATACTGTAATAGGTACATACTACATACCTAGGTGTACATAATTAGAAAAATACAATTATAATGATTCAGATGCATCAGTTAACAGTTATGGTTAACTTATCAGATATATAGTATTATAAATAATTATTCTTAATACCTATAGGATTAAAAAAATTATAATAGTTCCCGACATACCAGCAATATCATAAATTCATAACTTATTTGTTTTTAATTATTGAGCCCCGTGTTAAGTACTTAAGTGTTAACACGATAAATTTGAAAAAAATGTAAAACTAAATGCCAATTTATTGTTGAATACAAATATTATACGAATTCTATAAATGTATTGTTATAACCAGTGTACTTTACTTATAGCACTAAAAATAACTAAAATATACGTTATATATGACCAGATAAACTTAAAAATATACACTAAAAATGAAAAAATATGCACTCAAATAAAAAATTGGAATTTAAATAGAATTACTAGTTAATAAATTTTAAAAAATAAAATAAAATCTTAAAAAATTGGGTTTTGAATGTTCTGAAAAAAATGTGCCCCGGTACAGTTTATCGATCACAAGATAGATTATTTTCATAATTTGCGAAGCGATTAGAATTTAAAAATGTAGATAAGTAGAATGTAGAAAGTACGCATATCAGACGTTTTTTAATTAATCATCTCAGAATCTCAGATAACTACTATTTTTTCCATTTATTGAGTATTTATAAATGACGTTCATGTGCCTTTCTACCTTTTTGTGACAGATAGCTTTAATTAATAAATTTTGAACAATAATATCCATCAACCGTCAAAAATCGTTAAATATTGGTCAGTATAAAAAAAAAAAAATAAATATGCAAAACCCCCCCAAAATATGCAAAAATATGCAAATTTAATTTCATATTTAATATCTCTGTACTATAAAACGTATTTGTTCATCACTCAGCTATGTTTTGCATCACCTATTATGGATATGCAAAATATGCTATATGTCCCAAACCCTGCTTATAACCAATTGTTTAATAAATACAATTAATTATCTCACAATTCAAGCTTTGCCTTTTATAATTTTAACTTATACAAGTATCAAAAAAGATGATGAAAATAGAATATTTACCAACAATTAATTAGGAATTACTCGATACGATAAATGTAATAAAATATGGTTAAATTTATGGAACTTTAATTTGTTGTACATACTTTTTATAATATGCTTATATTTATAGAATTTAATTAAATTTTTAATTAAAATTTGTTATTAAAATTGATTAATAAATATTTTGTAATTCATAGGGAAAATAAATATAATTACCTTAATAGAACATTCGCAGTCTCTGGAACTCTGTAAACCTAATATAACAAAATGCAATATTATGATATTTCGATATTGAAAATAATAATCTTTTATATTTACCTTCCATCCTAAATTTTCAAAGAATGTACATAATCGTGACTGTCCTGTTGTCTTCCCACCACAAGGACCTAAACTTAACAAATTAGGTTAGTGATGGATACCTATTGTATATTTTTGAAAAATAAAAAATATAATACAATTATTTATACGTTTTTATATAGAGTATATGCGTTTTGAAATAATAATAAATATGTAGCCATATTTATTAAATGTTGTTATGTGTATATTCAAGTACTAGCATATTTGATGAATGATTTGATCTGTGGTACAAAAGTTAAGTAGGCCAGAAACCATTAGGTACTTGGGAAAAACGATTCTGAGCAAAAACGGACAGTTAGCCTATATTGCTTAGTATATTTCATGAAATATTTGTTTTACCATCAATAATATAGTAGATAAATTAATTTTTGCTGGTAACATACATTTAAAAATATTAATGTGTATACATATTTCATGTTTCTAAGGTCATTCGTTTTTGAAGCACATCAAAATACAAAATCGAATTTTTTTGCAATAAAAACTAGTTTTGAGTAAAAATTCTCATTTTTCCATAATTTGTTTTTGTTATTTCCTGTTATTTTGAAAGGTACCTATACTGGGAATTGTCATTTTAAATCCTCAAAAGTACCAACTAAATCCAATAACTACCAAAAATCACCCATTAAGTAGAAAATCGAAGCATTTATTTTGCAACAGAAGCTGATAAAAAAAAATAATGGCCAATGTTTTAAGTTGTCCCACTAAACCTCCCCCAGCTCTTATACCAAGAACTGAAGAACTGTTGTTGTTTCAGAAATTCCTACTTGTTTATTGCAAGGACTATTATAGTATAATTCCTAACTTCTGTGATAGTTTCTGATTAACAGCCCACCTTCAACCTTGCTAGCTGTGGATATTTATTTTTGTGAATATGATTTTAATTGTGACTCTTTCCCAATCTAAATTTTCTAAGTCGGCGTAGCAACAATAAATATCTTCTATAAATAAGTATGTGAATTTAACGGTACCAAAACAATTAAAAGCCGTATGGTTTTTTTAACAGTTGTGGTGCTGGGCAGTTACATAAACGGTCCATAATTGTACAATTCCTACGCAATGTCAGCACTAAACCCTACTTCAGTACTTTCTTTCCAAAACTCAAATACAAATATATTAATCATTATATCATATTAAAGATGACGTGGCAGGTAACCAGCAGAAGCCGTTGCTTAATAAAAAGTTTAGATGAATATAAATAACCCCCAACATCCAAATGAAAATTACTGTATACTCCGCTGGGCTAAAGCCGTGGCTCAGTAAGAGTCCATGTTATTATCATCTGTTAAAGATTAATACAAACATTTATCTTCCCAAACCTTAAAATACAATAATATATTATTACATATTTGCTGTTTCCCTATTATCATCAATATTCTTATTCACGATGAGTTAAATACTATATTATTAATTTAATATATATTTTAAATGATCTATGCCCCACAAAATATCAAAATCCCCCCCCCCCTTAGAATAAATAAACTATTATCATTATTTAATGCCATGTAAAATACATCTTAACTTAATTACTTTATAACTCACTCTTTCATTAATATTTATTCTCAAAAAAAACCCATTTGGTATTATATATATATATATATATATTTATATAACTATGATTATTTTATTAAAAAAAAAAAAAATGTGTTCCTACATGAGAACTACACTACTCGGCTCGAAGGTCACTCTAAGTGTTTACATTACATAGTGGTAACTGGTAAGCCACTAAGCCCCTAAAAAGGTGATAACTTAGAAGCTAACCTGGAGTAAAACTGGTATAGCTATTAAACGCCAAACAAAGTAGGCAAAGTGAAAAATAGGAATATAAGAATAAAAAAAGTTAACAAGTGAGTACTGCTTTGCTGTACAGCAATTGTCTAGAATGTCATTGTAATGAATGAGTTTTATTTTAATTTAAAAAGATTGATTATGAAAACCGATTCTAAGCGGAGACGTTGGGTCATCCTAGCATACTTTTATAAATAATCAAATTTAATGATTAAAAAAAAAAGAAGTTTAATTTTAAGTTTTAAAGTGTTTAAACTTTATAAAAACATTAAATTTAAGATTTCTCAACTTTCTCAACGCTTTGCTAAGTTGACATGGATAACAATACATCAAGATAATAAATTCAAATGTTAATTTTTAATATACCTTTCAATAACAAATTGTATCGATATAATTATAATAAAAAATATACGGAAACAATTCGAGTAAGTTGACAAATATCAATTTGTCCTCTCCAAATTACACTTACTACACTTGTTTTGTGTTTTGATAAATAACTTCTAAAAAACAAATGTAGATCAAATAAACAACATATCAAATTAAATCTAAAAATGTATGTCGAAATATTTTACCTACCCTTATTTATTAATCGTTATAAGTTTATGACAGCAGTTTCAAATACTACATCGACTAACCTCGATTTTGTTTTGTGTAAATAACTTTGTTATCACTCATCAAAATAATTTGAAACTTGAGAAATTAAATGTTACTAACTTCGTTGTGTTAGTTTTATGGAATTATTGACATAGACTACAGGCCAATGTATTGCATTGAAGTTGAGAGATATAAGTTTTGTGGGGTTTCTTTATATCTTTTGTCACATACTACAGCTCACAATCCTACAATCATAATTCCAGTCAATTTCCAGATTTTAAAATTAAATTTTCTTAGCGGACCACAACTCCATTTATCCCATGGATAACGCTCAGAGTTTGATTGTTTACCATTCAATATTTCAAGTATACCACGCCCCTCCTGGAGACGATATTTAAGACCTCAATTGCCCGGATTCGATAAGTTCACACAGTGTCATCCCCATGTTAATACTCAATGTCTTATCCATTCTTTAATATCTTGTGCCAACTTACTCGAGTTTTTAGGGTCTTTCAAACTCCTCACTCCTATCATTTACGGATTCAGAACTAAAGTTAGGAAGAAGAGGAGGTAATTTTTGTTGAAAGGACATAAAAATAATACACAATTAAAATGTCTTATATACGAAAAGATGACTGAAGTGTCCAGACGTTTACACTAAAGTGAAATGAAAATGCCTATGATAATAATATAATAAACACAAAATCAAATTATTTACGCCGTGTACGGTCGAGCATATGGCAATGATGTGTATTCCAGCAGTTCTTAACCTTTTGTAGAACACGGACCCACGATGAAATATTTTTATAAATCGCGGACCCCCTACCAATTTTTTGTGGAATACATTTTTTTACAAAACATATCAAGTTATCATATCCAAAATTATAATAACTATTTTACATTACAAATTATAGAAGTAGACATAACAAAATATACACATTTATATAAGATTATAATTTTATATGAAACAAAAATAATAATCCAAAAAAATTGTAATGATGCACTTATGTCACGTAGTAACTTATGTTAGGTGGTATGGCTGCCGTGGACCCCCGACATGAGTATTGGGGACTCCCAGGGGGCCGCGGACCACAGGTGTATTTCATTATCCATAACCCTAATCGTTTAAAGATCACATTATAATATTGTGTTATCGTGATAGAGTAATAACTAATAACTAATAGACAATTTGTAACGGAGTAACCGTTACCACATAAAACGGTCCTTTTCAGGAACACCAATCAGCGAACAGTATTACAAAAACAAACCCTGCAACCAACATTAGGGAACAATAACAAAGCCCTAAACAACGAGACATTAAAAACAATAAAAGTGATACATAGGGGAGAGTAAGACGAATCCAACGACACCCTCACCATGTCGATAACCCCAAAATTGCGCAGGTTACAGAACATCCCGTACCACATGAAAACACAACCATATACGGCGGCACAAAACAGTTTACTAGTCGGTACAGGAATCTACTTACATACCTTACGATTTAGCAACAACGATATCTGTCTTCAACATCGTCTCAAACAAATTAGTATTCTCTAAGAAACACTGAACGTTGAGACACGAAGACTACCAGCCGCCAATACCGAACCCACTAGGGAAGCGATCCAGCTAGCGGAGCCGAGCCGACCTACAGTAAGTGTTGGACGTTTTAGATCTAGAATAACAGCTACCGCGCAGCCACCTGACTGACGTCACTGTCCTCATCGAACTGACCGACGCCGATCCAGCCAGCGGAGCGAGACGACCTACAGCAAGTATTGGACGTTCTAGAATAACAGCCATCGCGCCGCAACCAGACCGACGTCACTGTCCTCATCGAATGAACCGACGCCAAAACGCGCAGACTACTCAAAAAGCGAGGCGAACACTGCCCAGTGTTTACGTAAACTGCCATTCGTCCCAGGTAATGAATATATTTACAAGACAATGTAGCCTCTCACAACAATATAATATGAAAAAAACTAATTTTTAATCATTATTACCTAATAACTAGTAAATAATAAAACTCGTGATGGAAGAACCAATATATTTCATATTAATTGGTTATGAATATGATAAATACCTTCTAAGTATTAGAAAATTTTTTTAAATCATTTTCATATTAACAATTAACATGTAAGTTGGTATTGCATTATAAATTACGATCGTATTTTCAATATAATATAATATTCGATCTGTACATATTGGGTTGGAGGTTTTCGCTTCGAAACATATTCACCACGATACGTTTGATGAAATCAGTTAAACCCAAGTAAGTACAACAAAATGACAAAATGAATATAATACATTACGAGTGACTTACCACCGGTCAGTACGATTTTGTATAGTTTCTTGATTTTATTGTTCATCGTGAATATTTCTCTGCTTGTCGACGTTTCTAGCGTGTGAACTATGTGACTTCTGCTGTGGGTGGCGATGGTGTGATCAAACTTGAAGGCCGTTTGTATGATAACGGATGACGACACCGGCGAAGAGAGTTTTCCGATGAAATGTATTGCGCGTGGTGGCGTTGGTTGTTATTATTAATATTCACTATATTATTATAATTTTGATTGTTGTCGTCATGTGTTTGCAAGCACTACAAAACTGTGAAAAAAAAAACACAAATATAAAAAAAAATATATCTCGACCAGATTTACCAAGCGTGTGAACGTCGCACGTCCTGAGTCCTGACTGCAACTGACTGGCGAATCCGAGTGAATGGTTCCGTTTGCGATGTGATGAACTAAACGACCACAAAGGAATTCGAGTACCATCTACGACGAAGGTCATTGTTTCTAGCGCTATCTATATTGGTAAACGGAAAACTGGTATGGTCTTTATAAACGTGGAATACTTTTGCGGTCCATGATAGTCAAGGTTTCCCAGAATTCTATGAAAAAAAGGGAATAAAATATCAACGATTATTTTTTATTTTATTTTATCAACGATCGATAGGAAACCACGAGTGACTGCGATGTAATTTTATAATTGTATGCATACAGAGAACCAGTTGTAGCGGTCGGTAAATTGTTATTTTTAAATTTTGATTGCAAACATTATTTTTTTGTTTTAAGTATTATTTAAATTTAACTTGTTGACGATGGTGATTTATCAAAATTATATTATAAACATTGTAAATATTTTAGGAACCCTGGCAATTAAATTTTAAATAGTACCAGTTTTACCAGATTTTTATTTCTTTTGTTATTAATTGTATAAGCCGTACCAATATTCCGAGCATCATTTATACTATTTCAATCTCTCAATTTATATATATTATATAAAAAAGAAATTGTTCGTTAGTCTCGTTACAACTCAAAAACGGTTGGAACGATTTGAATATTTTTTTTTGTTTTGTTCACTTTAATAAAGAAATGGTTTAAAAAAAAACATAAGAGATAACTTCCAGCGAAAAGCTAAACAATTTTTTATTGAAAAGTGTTGTACTCTGTAACTTGTGGGTGCAAATGACAATTTTTAATTATTAGATATAACATAGTAAAAATATTATTCTTAACCCTAATTTTACACCCGTTGTCATAAATTCATTAAACAACTACAAAGTGACCGACAGATTTCTATATAGTACTAGGTAGCGAACTCTCGTTACCAATTGAAACCTAATTGTCGGTTGGCATGATATAGTATTTTCCACAGTACATATTAATTACATTATATTGTATTTTATTATTTCTAAATCTTTTTTTTAAAAAAAAAAAGTTTTCTATAGTTCGATCTAATATAACAGTTTTTGAATGTAGTATCTAAGTTAGGGGTCTTCGACGAGTTCGACCCGCTTGCGGCCCGCCCTGTCATAATATACGTTCCGCGATCACATTTAAAATTTAGAGTGTATTTCGATTTTATTTCGATAAAATTTTAACGGTTAAGCTATCGCTATCGGAAATATTCTATCTATATATGTTTAATAATAGAAATAGGTAATTTGTTATCACTGCTTACATTATGTTCTAATAATAATAATTTGTAATTTAAAATGTAATCATAAACATTGTAATAATTAAACTGAATTTTTGTATAAAATACATGTTTTTACTACGAATGCGGCCCGCAAGATTATTAAAAAATAATACGTGGCCCGCTGCACAATACGGTTGAAGGCCTCTGATCTAAGTGGTTTTGAAAATTTTAGTACAATGTTTTTATTCTGAATTTTGTCATCCGAGAACATTTTTTTTCTGGCATACAATCGGAAATATGTAGGTAATGTAACATATTATATTCACATTGTAACCGTAAAAACTGCTGCGCCAGCCGGATGGTAACATATTATAACAAATAACAACATTTAACAATACGTTTTACTGATGTCAAATCGAATTTATTGTTGTTTAGGTACCCAAAACTTATCTATAAGGATTACGCATGATGACCGTAGTATGATAATGTATGTACCTATAATATAGTGTTACACCATACAAGATACACTAGTAGTATATACTGTAGTTTGGTTTTGGTCCGTGCGGTATAATGTGTAATTTCCTATTTTTTTTTTTTTTTTACCAAAAACATGCTTGTTGAAATAAACGATTTCGGAATTCTAAATTGAGTCAGTGAGAGAAAACAAATAGTGCACAGACATATTCTTAATAATTAAATGGGAGTTTATATTAAAATTTATCATTTTTTTTTTATAATTCTTGTCTGTACCTATAAGCAAACGAGTTCTATGTTTGAGTCATTGTTTAAAGAATAAGTAATTAGATTTCTAAAATCCATATAATTTGTGGGCAATACAAGTAAATGTTCACAAACGGGCCACGCCCAAACAAAAATATCATATTAAATAAACCGGTTAACGATACCTAAGTCATGAGTCATAACGATTAGGAGGTATCTTTACCTGGTAGAGTCATTAGTAATGAATGTGTGTCGTGCGATAAAATCAACAAAATAATTAAATATATTGTATTCTAATGACAGTAGACAGTTGACTAACGACTAATGAGCAATGGCCAATGATTAATAAAAATTCCAAAATATATATTATCGTTGTTACTGCCGCCGAACCGACGACCAAATAGTGTTTTCCATTTTAATAAGAGTGTAAGTATCAAAGTAATAAATAATATTACTATCTTTATTACTACCGACGATAATATTTTCCACTTTTGTAAGTCGTAGGTACAATAACCATGTTAATCATAATTTAAAATTAAACATTTTTTTTGTAATTCATATTAAAATCACATTAAGAGGACGCTACCATGCAAATGTTTTTGGTTTCAACGTTTATCCCTCTTTGTTACGAAATCATTAAAACCGAATAATCCATTGGCACGGACGACGGCCATTTTTATTTATTCAAAGTTTTTTTATGTATGGTATTGTCAGTTTCAGTATTGTGTATATGTGACTATGAATTAAATATTATAATATTGTTACTTTACATTTTTCAAATAATTTATCATATCGATATGAAATACTGAATTGATAACGTATACCCACATATATGCAGCTTTTACCACCCACACCACACACCTGTTCATGACCATAGTCAATTTGCCAACAAATACAGTGTGATAAGCCTGATAACATAGTCAACACGACTGCCCGCATATTAAACCAACACTCACACTAATAATCATTTACTTAACGACTAACACAAAGATCAAGGTCAATGATAATACGATTAAGAATTGCCTACAGTTTACATCTTAAGCAATAGCCACTAAAAGCCCTAACTGTAGAACGTGCAATATTGTCCATTGGGGATTCGATCTATATTTCTAGACACGATGCATATAGGTATATTTTGTACATAAATATATTTTTTTCACACTGACAGATAAGCCTTATTTTATCCAGCAGTCAAAGACGAACCCACCAGAGTAGTAAGGCATTTTGAGTCCCGTACATCTTATCACCCGAAACAGAACAAACAGAAGGGAATCTTAAGGCTCATCGAAAAACCTCCGACATTTCTGAATTTTAAACGTGCTGCCACATACCGAGAAACTCCCTTTTTTTAAAGTTTTTTGTGGTTTGTGGCTACAATGTTAGTCGGCAATTCCACTCATAACAACAACAACACATGGCCAACCATAGATAACATAAGATTATATTATCTACGTGGCCAACACGTCTGTCGATTTTCGTACTCCATCACGGGTACGTCTCGATTTTTTGCGCTCCAAAGTCCAAAAGTTTTTTGTATTTGCTGTTATTTGTTTTGATATTGTATACATTATTTACCAAAATATTGTCTTTAAAAATAAAAAAATTAATTGAATTTATACTGTGTAATAATGTAAATTTTACAGCACTAGAGTAGTAAAAGTGAATTTGAGGTATTCCTACTGACTATAGGTACAGGTTATGTAACAATGTCACATACTTCTACCAATATATTTATTTAGGATAAATCTTCAATTTTTCTTGGCAATTGCGTGTACTAATTACACAAGTACTATATATATATAAAAAAAAAATTAGTACAGCTTAGATTATCTAAAACCTAACCTAACCTAACCTAACGTAATTTGTTTTGTAATCTTCTGTGTACCTATGCATTTTTGTTCATTCATCAACTAAATGATGATAAATAAAATATGTATAGTTTTGGTTTTTCTTACATTCTGTACTTAGATAAATGGTAAAAATGCAATTTCTTAAAAAAAATCGGTTTGATTGTTTGAATATAATAATATATTAAAAATTTGAACGAACAGTGTTGCACGATATAAAGAAAAAAGGGAAATTCCCGGTACGTGGCAGCATGTTTAAAATCTAGAAATGTCGGACGTAGTATCATCTCCCATAAGAGCCCATGTTAAATGAAATAAGATTCCGTTCTGTTTGTTCTGTGATAGTAGGAACGGTCTCATCGTCTCTATCAACGTAATCGAGAGCGTGACCAACAATCACAGTGGTACGAGCAGCCGACAAAACAAACGGTGGACGACAACTTTAGTTTATGCCTGACCGTCCTAGCCGCAACGGATAATAGTTAATACAGTAGAACCTCAATTATCCCAACTATAATTAGCGTATCCGAACGTTCTGTTATCTGAACATGAAAACTCGTATCCGGCCGGTCGGCCGGTCGGCCAGTCGGCCATATGGTTTATCGAATTTATCATGAAAGGCATCAGAAAAGCATGTTGCAACTCACCGTCAAATTACAATTGATAATTTTGTCAAAAAAATATATAAAATAAAATAAATGTAATGTATTTCTAATAATGTGTGTAATGCGTATTTCTGATAATGTAATGCATGTAATTCCAATAAAATATTAATAATAATAATAAATATTTAATTATAAAAAAAAAATAATTAATGTACACAATATTATAAAAAATTGTATTTTATATTTCCAATATCCAAACTTTTACGTATCAGAACTAGGTGCTGTCCCAATTAGTTCAGATAATCGAAGTTCTACTGTAGTTTTATCATAATAATTTTTTTAGTAAAATATTATTGGCTTATCCAATCTAAGGTGAATAATTTTAACGAAATTTGAGAAAATATAGCGTAATTCCTACAGCGTTAAACTTGGTTTAGACTATTTATAGATTGGATAGTACAGTTCAGCCAGCAATATCCCTAGCTGCGTTAATCTCATCTCTAGCATACGTTAATTAGGTGGATAATAGTAATTACAATTTAATAATCACAATGAACAGTAAATGCATTGGTGAGTTACATAAGCATGGCTTTAAGACGAACAGGTGCAAGGTTGATA